TGAGTTATTTTTGAATATCGCCGTCCTTCCGCACTGAAGAATTCCTGGGATGGGGTAAAGACAGTACAGTACTCCGTCTAAGGACAGACACGAAGTTCTCTAGTTATGATATTATAATTATGGACATTACCTAATATTACTAATATTAAGATGGTTGGATCAAAAACGTTAAGAAAAACGTGAAAACCTACCTTGGCGCTCCACAAACGAAGAGTATTCACAACATTGTTACGATAACCGGGAACAGGGGTATCGTAAGGCATCGCAAATACAACTTGTGTGTCCACCCAGCTCGCCTAAAACCAAAATTTATGGTTCATAGGAAAAACCCAGAGAAAACTTGTAAGGATGGTATTCGAAAACGATGCACTCACCTTTCCTTTCGAATCCTTGACTACTTTGCCGTAGAAGTTAACAGGCAGCATGTACTCAGGTCTAGCCTTCTCCCAAGGGTTTCCAAAACGGAGCCAGTCATCGGGCTCTTCTACCTATGAAGCGAAAACGTAGAAAAAGTTTTTATACATGCTAGTGTTTTTCTGAACTGTTTACAAAGAGGAAAACCCGTTATTTCTTTTTTGAAACCCCAAATGAAATTCTAAAAATGGAAAAATTTCCTTTAATACTTAACAATCCAAAGTACATTATAGTACAACTATCTGTCAGATATGCGCTAATTATGCCGTACCTGCCAGCCGTCTCTGATGAGTTGCTTGAAGATACCGTACTCATATCGTAGACCATAACCGTAGGCTGGTATACCGAGAGTAGCCATAGAGTCAAGGAAGCAAGCGGCAAGACGACCAAGACCACCATTTCCAAGTCCAGCGTCTTCTTCGATTTCTTGCAATTCTTCAATTTCCAAACCGAGCTGTAAATGATGTTTTTTTTACTAAACCATTTCTACACCATTTCTAGCACTCAAAATAGTGTAAGAGAGGCAATATTATTGAAGATCTAACAATTTTTCACTTTTTTAGAAGTAAATATATAACAAGTTTTGACTTCCTCGAATCCTCTCAGGCAATAACTATGCAAAAATTTGACATTGCCTAATGAAAGCCAGCTATCTGCACCCCTAATGCCAGCTTTTTCTCTTCATTTTTCATTTCGCTTATGCGGATTCATTACAGCATTGGCGCGATTGT